GCGCGTAACTTGACGCCGGAGTTCGACGCCGGAAATATTTTTGAGCTCGTGTGCTTTTTGAAACTCTCATGAAATTCTGTGTCTTTAGTGCTTCCAGCGACGTTCATATGAAGTTGTCATAACTTTAATAAGCTGTCGCGGTTGTAGTTTTTTTAAATGAATTATTAGTTTTCCTTCTTTTAGGTTTTTGTATAGGAGCATCGGAAATGATCGGCCGGGCGTTGACAAAATCTGGATCGGACCAAATCGGATCAACCGTTGAAACACCATCCCTAACCTTTTATCGTTTTAATAGCGAACATTTGTATAAGTAATCACATGATTTCGAGTGCAGTTTGTTACAAATCTGAGCAAGTAAATTTTTCAAAGACTAACCAAATTGCAGGAGCACTTACAGCGACTGCAATTTGATTAGTGCAATTTACGGGTGCTGATTTACCCCAAATCGCACGAGAAAAATCGTGTGATTACTTGTTAATAATATAAATGTAAATTTTGGCTTGTTTTTCTTCTGTTACGTGTCACTGCTCCTTGTTACCGCCTACAAATGACAACCTCGACCAAGATTAGTCTAAATTTTGACAGGTGAATATTGATGGATAAAAACGCAGAAGCTAGAAGTTTGTTTACTGAAAACTGAAGCCTTTTGTCATTTTATGTTTTTAACTTTTCATGTTTTTCCACTACCGTTAAAGAAAGAACTACAATTTATTGCTATCAAGATTCCTTAGTTGTGTTTTGTTTATTTGGGTTTTGGTTGAGGCAAGCATCGCAATAGGGGTTTCATCGATGGCTGTTTTTGTAGTTCATGCAAGCTTTTACAGCAGAGTAAGGGGGGAAACTAAAACGTTTCTAACCTCACTTACTAGCTTTCGGTAATTGCATCTCGTGTGAATTTTGAGTGATTGCATTTTTTTGCCTCATTTAACGGCAGGCATCTTTATTTTAGTTGCAGTCTTACCATTACTCATAAGATTCAATTTGAGATAATGTATGGCATGAAGTATGTGTTTACAGTACAAAAGCTTTTAAACAGTTTTCTGAAAAGGAAGAAGTTCTAAAGAAAACTTGGTTAGTCAAACTCGTGTTCGTTTTAAAAAGAAGGCTTTAATAGCGGTATGTTCATCTAGTATTTGCCTTCCAAACGCTAGCCTGTGAAAGCAGCTGTTTCTCCTCACTCTTTGCCTCTGGGGACTTTCCAGGAGGAGCAACTTCTGTGACTCAGTGACAGAAATTCCATACTGAAGACGTAAATCAATGTTTACATAATGAATCTGGTAGTCATGGAGTTGCAATTACAGATTTGTTCAATTTTACCTTTCTCCTGGTCGATTTTGGTAAAGTGTTGTGTTCATCTGTGAACAAGCTCCAGCAAAACTTAAATGCTTCTTCTAAAGAAGAATATATTCCACAAACATTGACGGGTTTTTTATAGATTCATCATGTTTACGTTTGACCTTTGTCTGTCATTCATAAACAATGCCAAAACAATGTAACTGCTCTGTTGTCCAATCAGCGCTTATGACCGGATTCCGGACTGATTTTACGTCATCAGTATGGAATTTCTGTTGCTGAGTCACAGACGTTCCCCCTGGCGAAACGTCCCCCAGCGGCGATGAGTGAGGAGAAACGTCTGTTTTTGCAGGCTATCCAAACACGAAGCCAACTAAAATACAAACAAACAGAAAACAAGGCTTTCGAAGAGAATTTCCGTAACACTTTAATCACACTACTTTCTAATGAAAAGCTGCTTTTGTTTCAAGACATTTTTCCTGTTTTGATTGTCAGTCAAGAATTTGGCATTTTGCTATTCGACTGTTGTTTCTTCTGGTTTCTTTGTTGGAGGGTGGGTCAAAATGCTGTGTGAATAATGCTGAAATGGCTTGTGATTTATGTCTGTTTGCACATTCTTCATCCCAACCAAAAATAGTTACATAAAGGAGTTGTCAATTATTCTTCTGACACACCCTTAACTCACCTGAGGCTGACAATCAATTCAATTTCAACTTTCTCCACTCAATTTCAACCTTTTGCACTGAAAAAGTTTAAACTTTCTGTACAGTTTGAGATTAATAACATAATTATTGACGTGCTCTCAGCCAATGAGTGTACTAAAATTTTTGCATGTATATTATTAGAACTGAAATCATGTGCGTGATTTCAAAATCAGACATGTGGGAAGGGTGAGTTCAAGTTGAAATCANATTAATAACATAATTATTGACGTGCTCTCAGCCAATGAGTGTACTAAAATTTTTGCATGTATATTATTAGAACTGAAATCATGTGCGTGATTTCAAAATCAGACATGTGGGAAGGGTGAGTTCAAGTTGAAATCAGAAGTATGACCAAAATAATTGCACAACACGAAGTTCAATTACCACTTTATTATGATCATTTTGAAATCACAGAATTCAGGCAGTAATAGTTAATATTTTATTGATCACGTAGCTGATTTGTTGAAAAGCAGAAACAAAAGGCTTTTACACCTCATGTTGTATTTGAGATATAGGGCATACATGATGTTATAAACATGGTGCGACTTAGAACAGTTGTGATCTAGAGCAAAAAATAGTGTGATTTGTGAATGAGTCACGTTGCTGAGAGCCAATTAGATTGCAGGGATCACCAGTAATTTCAAAATGGATGTGTGAAGTAGAGAGGGTTGATCCAATCTTGTCCACCTGTCACACTGCAGGTTACACAATCTCATAATCTCTATGTGTAACAGTTTGTAATTGTATAGTAAATGTACTAGATTTAAGGTTTGCTTCAATTTGAGTGATGGTAGTTCCATGTCATCACTGCAAGTTTTTTGTATTCTCTGAGTGCATACAGTGAACAGAGAGACCACACCATGCTAGTTGCTTAGAAGAGGTTAAAAACAATGGAAACTATTAAACAGTCAGGCCAAAAAGTGGTCACAATCCCTTACAAGAGGTTCTAGTTATAAGGCTTTGACTGGGAATATTTTGGTGTTTGAAATAGACTGATGGTTTTAAGATCTTTAACCCATTAGCCCCTGGAGATTTTGCCGAAAAACGCCTTTTGAAGCTTGTCGAGTGGTTTTCAGGTCACTGTAGTGCTGTTAAGAGCTAAAACATACCATAAAGCCATTTGGAGGTCGCACACTTCACAGCCTTCTGATCCAGTTGCAAAAAAACAGCTTGTGAAGTTCGGGCATGCACAGAAAGCAAAATTTCGAAATATGAAATACAGTTGGGTAAGATTTCAAATAAAATCGAAATACATGCAGTCTCTTGGCACTGAATTTTTTTATGTTAAATTTAGATTTTATGCTTGGTCTGTTAGAGCAATGACACAGAAATTGAAATCTCCTTTACATGCTTTTAGGAAATGTCCGAAATGTAAACAAAAAGGTCTAAACAAGTGACCTAACTATATTGTATCACAGCAGCCCTTAATGCAAAACAAACTTACACTAGTGTGTAGGTCATTAGAAACGATGCTGTACCAGTTGTTGTGTGTACAGCTGTAAGGGGTAGTCAGGTGTACTTACAGTTGTGCACTCCTTCAGAAAGATATGCGACTTGTTTTTATTCTCACAAGAGATTGGAAAGTGCATTGGATGGTTTGAAATTTAGATTTGAATTCTTGAATCAGAATGTGAAGGCTCTATGGGGTAATGTTTGCTTGTGTTGTCCAAGTACTGTAGGACACAAGTCATTTGATCTTGGTGATGTCATCAGTTTATTTCCAAATTATGCATTTTACACCTGTATATCCAAGGGAGCTTGAAACCTGATGTGGACCTGCTAAGTACAGTGTAGTGCACCAAAGGACATAAACTTGTTTAGACACTTTGGAGCATGACTGTATTGGTCTGCTACTCCATTACCAATGGCAGAGTGTCTTTTCTGCCCAACATAAATTAATACAGTCCTTCAGCTTTGAGAGGTATATGTACATGTACACTGATATCAGAACAAAAGTAGCACATACGTTCATACATACATACTTCATTTAAGGTATCATAAGAAATAAACGACACAAATAATACCCTCAAAAGGAAGTTTAAGAATTTAACCCTATGTAAATAAACTTCCAAAAATAAGAATTTATGTTTATGAGTAAAATCTAAGATATAAGATGGATAAGAACCTAAGAAATACACATGTACGATGTAATAGCTATTTTGAAACGTCTTAAATTTCCTATCTCAACAACATTGGCGTGCAGGTCATTCCATTCACGAATAATTTTAACAAAGAAAGAGTATTTATAACAATTGCAGTTCACCGATTTAACTTGCAGTTTGTAGTTGTGATTAGACCAGGTACGTTTTGAAGCGAACTCCAAAAAATCGCACATTTTTCACAGTTATTTTAAGATCCTGAGTGTTGGTTTGGCTGGGGGTTGATCCCGCGACCTGCTACTCAGCACGGACAGTAGCTCAATTGAGGTAACTGGGCGGTACTGTATCCTGTATGCTTATGGTGGAGAGGTTGGAGTTGTCTCTTTTGGCTGTTTGGCAATGCTAGTCTCAGGTTGAATGTTTTGGACAGCCAGAGAACACAGAGGTAGAACCTATTTCTTTGTCTAAAATGGTACCAACACCACCAGCGGGTAACTGAGAAGTCTTTTCAGTGATTGTTATAATGACTGAATTTGGCTTTGGAGCACAATGAATGACAATCCATTTAGCTAGAAGGGTTGAGTAAAAATATCACGAGCTTAATTGGACCTGGACCCGTAATGAAGGAGTGGTTATCTCTGGATTCTTTCAGCTTGTATTTTTTAGATTGATGATGTATTCCTATGTGGGGCCTGTGTACGTTCTCTTGAAACATTTACCATAGTGTTTCCTTTTGGATATTTTTTAGCTCCTACGTAAATATGATTACAAATTTTATTGGCTTTGTCACTTAAACAAAGCAGAAAATTGCTGCTATAAAATAGTATTCTATTTAAAAAAGAAATAGGGGGAAAATAGTTGACCCAGTCATTTTATAAGCATAGAATGGCTATAAGTTTGAGAA